AGCGGTTCTCAACCTGTGGGTCGCGACCCCTTTGGGGGTCGAACGACCCTTTCACAGGGGTCGCCTAAGACCATCGGAAAACACATATAATTCCATATTGTTTTTGTGATGAATCACCATGCTTTAATTATGTTCAATTGGTAACAATGACATTGGAGGTCACCACGACACGAGGACCTGTATTAAAGGGCGCGGCATTGGGAAGGTTGAGAACCACTGCTCGGAAACTTTCTGCCAGCGACGTCGCAGCAGAGCGTCTGCAGTGGTGACGGGAGGCCGGGACACATGGCTTTCCACGGTGTCCTTTAACAAGGAGCAGAGAGAAGGTCTCAGCAGGGAATGGAAGTGTGTGGTTTTACGATGTCGTCGTCTGATCACTGACTCGACGGAGGAGCAGCAAGTAGAGAGGGTCAGGCCAAGGTGGCTGGCCGCGCTCCACCGGCCCGAATAACAATCCTCTTTGCGGATATTCGACAACCGCTGGAGAGCAGGCAACAGGCACGACGACACACTGCCCCCCGTAGCTGGCCTGACCTACGGCACAAGTCTTACCCGTTAGCACACTGGAGAATTCCCGCCCCAGATGACAGCTCGGGCTTTGGCCCAGCTGGTATGCGACCGTTCTCCTGGGGTTCGTTGGAAAGAGCCGCCTTTGAGCCAAGTCAGACTCGGGTCCGGGCCCCAGCTCTGCCGTTTGCTGGCCACGTGGCCCGGAGCCCGTCACTCAGTTGTCGAGAAGCCTTAGTTTCCTCACCCGTGAAATGGATCTAATAGCACGACCCCACAGGGGTGCTGTGGCACTGCGGGTGCTGTGGGGAGAGCGCCTGGCAGGGTGGAGCGCCTGGCACGTGCCCGCTGGCCTTCTCCCCGTGACGGCTCTCGTGAGGGTAGCTATGGAAGGCGGTGGAGCAGGAGGGAAAGAAAGATGTGTCATGGGATCAGGGGAGGCCTTGATATCCCCTGCCCCCATTCACTAAGGAGTGTCATCACGTTTGTTGGGAAGAAGGTAAACAGGAGGGGGCCAGGACATGGCCCTGTGTGTACATTTAGGGTCAGCAGTTTCTGTGCCCAGAATTCCTCCCTCCACCTCCAGGGGTGAAGATGAAGGGCATGGGGGTGGGCAGCAAGGTTCACAGCTGGCCCACGTGACATCTGGCCTGAGGATGACCACTGTGGGCGGGGGGGGGGAGGGGGGACACGGGCATGGGTGGCTAGGTGCCTGGGGCTGGGTCCAGCCGGTGTGGCTCAGTGGTTAAGCGTCGATCTATGAACCAGGAGGTCATGGTTCGATTCCCGGTCAGGGCACATGCCCAGGTTGTGGGCTCAATCCCCACCGTGGGTCATGCTGGAGGCAGCCGATCAATGATTCTCTCTCATCATTGATGTTTATCTCTCTCTCTCCCTCTCTCTTCCTCTCTGAAATCAATAAAAAAAATTTTTTTTTAAAAAAGAGGAAGCTGGGTTGTGAAGAAACCCAAGGTGCTTTGAGAAATCACAGGTTCCAAATGAGGAAAGGCCAGCCAATTTCCAGCAAAGGCCGGGGAAACTGGCCAGCGGACCCTGTGTGCAGAGAAGGGAGAGGGCAGGGCGGAGGTTGGCAGGGGTGAGGGAGGGGCCAGTGAGGTAGGTATGGCAGGTAGGTTGCTGAACAGCCCAGTGGAACCTCACACCAGCAAGCCCTCACCTGAAGTGAGGAGGCCAGAGATGGCAGGCCTCTTTCCAGTTGTCCGATCTCGAGCAGAGTTCTCTGCCTCCGTTTCTCCTGCTCTAAGATGAGATGGACAATGCCCTGCGTTGTTGGGTTAATTTAGTGAGGAAAACACAAACATTGTTCTTATTGGAACACTCACAGGTTTGAATGGAGAAGCTGCCTCTGCTCAGCCTTCTTGAGTCAAAAGGATTGAGTGTATCTTTGTCTCCTTTGCCCTTGATTCTCACTTTTATTTTATTTTATTTTTTCATTTTCTGCCCGTCCCGAGGTGGCGGCTAAGGTGGGCTGGAAGGGGTGCCACTAAATTCTTCCTGCGTGGCTGTGGGAAAGTGCTGCCACCTGGTGGTCACTGCTGGGCATAGCAGCCCAGCAGGGATACAGGAACAAGCCTTTCCGCCACTGGAAGCTGGTGCCTGCAAGCTTCTACCCCCTGAGACTCGTGTAGTTCGAATACCTCCTCACTTTCCAAGGGCCCAGAACCTGGAATAAAGGGTTAGCTGAACCCTTGTGTGGGTCCTCCGCTAGGGCCGGGACCTGGCACACTGATGTAGGTGGGTGGGTGTGGTGCCTGGAGCGGTTCCCCTTTGCTGGCAGGATTTCCTGTTACTCAGAGTGAAGGAACCCTCACACACACACACACACACACACACACACACACACACACACACACACCACACACCACACTGGCTCTAAGGGTGTCTCCTGAACTCTGCAGGTCTCAGGAGTCCCTGCCTCTTGGGCCACAGCTGGATTGGCTCAAGTCACTGGGCCCCAGTAAGAAGTCCCCTGGGGACAGTGGCTCCAGGCCAGGCCCCTGGAGGAAGCCCTCTGAAGGGCCCAGCCTCCCCCCTCTGGCCTGATGGAACGGCGAGGAGAGGGGGCTGCTGGGAGCAGGGAGTAAGGGCTGGCCACCTCCCTGGGCTGACTGTGGGCCCTCATCCTTTCTAAGCCCCTGCCTTTGGCTAGCAGGATTAAAGCTCTGTGAGGCTTTGGGGAAGCCGCACGGAGCCAAGAGGAAGTGAGCAAACTGATTTTGTGCAACTCTGCAGGCAGCAGTGAGTCCGGGAGAGCCAGCCCCGCAGAAGCGGCCACCTTCCGCCTGCCCGACATCCTGTCTTGGCTGCCACCTGCACCAGCCGTGGGGCTGGCCTCCCTGCCTGGGCCCCGCTAACACTGCCTCTTGCTGCCTTTGCAGGCTGGCTGCTGGGGTTTCCCAGGCTGCTCTGAGAAGCTGCAAAGTATCTGATGAGTCTCTGGCCAGCCTCTCGGGATGTTAAACAGAACTCCAAGGTCCAGGCTGCAGGCTCATGGGTGAGCCCTTGGTCAGGAGGCTCCGGCCCAGGCTGGGGATAGGCGAGGCCTTTCCCCAGGACTCCAGTGGCCTTTTCTCCCACAGCCTTGCCTCCTCCACCAAGTTCAGGTTCTTTAGTAGAACTGAAACCAACATGACCCTCATTTTATGGGAAAATCCCTGAGCCACGTTTCACTTGTAGTTTATTACTTAGAACTAGAGGCCAGGTGCATGAAATTAATGCACTGGGGGGGGGGTCCCCTCAGCCCAGCCTGCCCCCTCTCATAGACCAGAGCCCTCAGGGGATGTCCTGCTGATGGCTTGTCTCTGTGGGAGGCAACTGGGCTGATCAGGGGAAGGCGCCATCGCCATCACCCCACTGCTGCTGCCACTGCCAGCCGCCGCAGCCACCAAGGTGTTTTTCTCCACATGGACTCCAGTCCCTTCACCACGAAAAAATGACAACTTTCTTTAGGCATTTTCAAGATGTCTCTTTCATAGGATATGACATTTTTTTCTTTATCCTTCTTTTTTTTTTTTATCCTCACCTGAGGATATTTTCCCACTGATTTTTAGAGAGCGTGGAAGAGAGAGGGAAAGACAGAGAGAAACATCAATGTGAGAGGGACACTTCAATTGGTTGCCTCCTGCATGAGCCCTGACCTGGGCCCTGGCCAGGGAGGAGCCTGCAACCTAGGAACATGCCCTTGATCAGAATCAAACCCGGCCATGGGGCTGGGGCTGGGGGGCCGCCCCTCCCGCCCCCCCAACCCCGCCCCCGTGTTGTTCTCTTCAGCTCCAGGGCCAGGCGTGGGGCCACCTGTCTGTTGTTCTCTCAGGCTCTGGGCCCCTGGCAGGCCCCTCCTCCTGAGCTGGTTGTGACCGTTAGGGTGACCCAACCTAATTTGCATATTACAGTTTTTTTATCTCTATATAATTCTTTTTGGCATCTTGGTCCAATGGAAGCTTTTCTTTCTGGCCCAGGGCTCCCTCGGGGCCCCAGCCCCAGTGGCCAGCGTGTGTGTGTGTGTGTGTGTGTGTGTGTGTGTGTGTGTGTGTGGCATCTGTCTGGTTCCTCCCTCTCTTCCTAACTCAGAGCTGGGGCCCGACCTGCTTTATACTTGTGCTTCATGCCCCTGGTCTTGGCCGCTTCTTTCTTCCCCAGATGTGAGGTTAGAACCTCCTCCTGACAACACGGCACCGTCAGACCCAGGGGCTCCTTGTGCCAGCAGTTCATTTCTCGAGGGGCAGGCAGCAGACAGGAAAGTAGAGGCACTGCCCTCCAGAGCTCGCAGGAGAAACTCGGCACCTGGGGGCTCCAGGAGGGGCGGCGTCTGGGACTTTCCCCCAAGGCCTGGTTTCAGGGCAGCCTGGAGGGAACAGGGCTTGTTTTCTGGGCCCAGAGCGTGTGCACAGGGGCGGGTGGGAAGTGAAAGCTGCCTCCAGCCTCGGGGATCCGCCTGCCTGGTGGCCCGTGGTTTCTGGGAAATCAGGCGACAGGAGGCTGCAGGGGCCAGGAGACCCTATTGCAGAGGGTCCCCTGGCCATTCCGAGGAGTGTGGACTTGACCCTGAGGGCCGCTGGAGGCTGTGGGGGAACCCGGCCTCTGGGGTGGGTTAGGAGGGTGAGGAGGTCCCCGCACGAGGTGATGGGGCAGCTACTTAACCAGGACTGGCGGCGGCCTCCTGTCCTCTGTCCCCTGCACCTGTTGGCGGAAAGGACACTCAGGCCCCGTCCTAGGCCCAGAAGGGAAGCGACCCTGAAAGCTCTCTCTGCTCAGAACACGTAGAGCAGCAGTTCTCAACCTGTGGGTCGCGATCCCTTTGGGGGTCGAATGACCCTTTCACAGGGGTCGCCTAAGACCATCGGAAAACACATATATAATTACATACTGTTTTTGTGATTAATCACTATGCTTTAATTATGTTCAATTTGTAACAATGAAAATACATCCTGCATATCAGATATTTACATGATGATTCATAACAATAGCAACATTACAGTGATGAAGTAGCAACGAAAATAATGTTATGGTTGGGGGTCACCACAACATGGGGAACTGGTTTAATGGGTCGCGGCAATAGGAAGGTTGAGAACCACTGACGTAGAGGAAGGCGTCCCTGCCCAGGAGGGAAGTCCCAGGTCGACACAGGGAATTCTGGAGACGGAATCCCAGGTGTGAAGAGGTGGCTTGGTCGGTGGCCCCAAGCATGTCCCCTGCCTCTCCTGTATCCCGTGGGTTAACGTCTCACGAGCTCTCCTGTCCCCACCACGCTGCTCTTGTGACTGGTGCTGGGACAAAACCCCCGTCCGTGGCTTCTCTCATGCAGCTGAGATGGGCAGGTCTCTGCTGAGCAGGGCTCCCCTGGGCACAAAGGGGAAGGGAGGGGCAAGGATCAGAACACACGCCGGTCAGGGGCTGGCTCTGAGGCTCGGACACTCTCCCCGGCCGGCACCACCTCTCCATAGGCACCTAAGGCTTCCTTCTAGGAGCTGTGTCACTCGCCAGCTCCCCAACACAGAGCCCCCGCCGCCCTTGGCAGCCAGGCTGGGTGCGAGCAGACCCTGGATGCCAAGGCCCCAGGAAAGCTGGGCTGTCCCAGCCCCACAACCAGGCAGCGTGCCTCGCCTCACCTTCCTGCAGGCTCCTTGGTGCCCCCGGGTGGGAGGGGCTGGGGGGAGAGTGTGTTTTCTAGAATGACTCAAAGGTCACCACAGCGTGAGAACAACCCCCCACCCCCCATCCGCACGGCTTCCTAGACATGGCTCCTGTGACTTCCTTCTCCGAGGAGAGATAAGAGAGCGGTTTCAGGGGAGACATTGACAAGTGGCCACGTGGAAGCCGGTAAGGGACACAGTCAGAGGCCCCTCCGTGTCTGGGGAGTTGGCTCAGGGAGACGGGGCAGGGCAGGCACTCAGATAGACGTGGACGCGCCAACTTGGGGCGCAGTGGGCATCGGTGGGTGGCGAGGGGACCCTGGCAGGCCCCAGCGGAGGCATCTCACCAGCACCCAGGGCCAGGGGCCAGTTAGCAAGCCCCAGAGCCGCACTTAGTCGGTCGGGCAATGCATTTGGGGCTGTACATTGGTGCTTTAAGGTAAATATTCCAAACCCTTTAACCCACTGTGTGGGCTGAGGCGCAGCTGTTTCTGTAAATGACCCCTTTGGGCGGCACAGAGAAGCACCTGAACGAGGTGGCCCTCGAATAGCAATCGCCCCGAGTGTCTGGTTCCCAGGAGCGGAGACCAGGTGAGCAACTTCAGGGATAGGGCCCAATTCCCAGACAGACACCTGTTCCTCGGGATGGGGGTGGGCTTCAGGGCACGAGAGGGGCGGGGATGCCCTGTGATCACATGAACATGTTGCTCTTTCCCTCCTTTCTGCCTGGCCGGCCATCCTGTCAACCTGCTATCACTCAAATAGGTGTGACACAGGTGGTTGTATGGTGGGGTGCGGGCTGGGAAGGGGTGATTGAGCAGACATGATGCTATGGGACGTGCTGCACCTTCTGAGCAGGGAACCTTAGCTTGTCCCTGTGACAAAAGATCTTTGATATGAAGGCCGGGTTGCCCCTGTGCCCAGCAGAGTGGATGGTTTATAAACAAGAGGCTGGGAAGATCAAGATCAAGGCTCAGGCAGACTCCATGTCTGAGGAGGACCCACTTCCTGGTTCACGGATGTGGGAGGGGCGGAGGAGCTCTGTGGGGTCTCTGATAAGGACCCTGATCCTATTCATGAGGGCTCCACCCTCATGACCTTATAATCTCCCAATGATCCTGCCTCCATATGCCATCGTCTTGAGAAGTGGATTTCAATGTGTGAATTTTGGAGGGACACACAGTCAGTCTCTATGCTCTAGGCAGGAGGAAGAGTAAATTCTGGTGAAGGTGAGGGGCCTGCCACCAAAGACCACTTCTTGTTCCTCTGGGTGTCCGTTTGCCTCATTGTCACGGGATGTTTTGCTAAACCAGCAGAAAGCCAGAAGAGTTCACTGTCAGTGCTCCCAGCGCCTCTCCCACCCGCGCTACGCTAGCGAACCAGCATCCGGTCCTGAGTGAAGAATGCTGAGCCTTCTCCAAGCCACTCACACGTCCTCCTCCGTCCTCTCCATCTTCTTGCTGAGGGTCCCTGGCTCCGTGCTTCCTCTTGGCCCATCTCACTTCCTGAAACACCCTGAAGAGGGCTGCTTATCTTGATGGAGCTCCGTGAGCCCTACGGGACAGGGGAAGGCGGAGTCCTTGAGTGCATCTGTCTGGGGAACTAAGAGCGATAGCTCTTTCAGATTCAGCCCACGAAGCTTTTGGGAGCCCAGGGATGTGTGGCTGGCAGAGGGGCTGGAAGTGAGCCCTGTGATGGGCTCTCTCTAAGGCGCAGAGGTCCTCCAGGGGCGCGCCCCACCAGAGATCAGAAGGCATGGGCGAGTTGTGAGTTGTAGACTGTGGCTGCTGCACCTGGACCTCCAGCAAGAGCTGAGCTCCCCGGCTCACCCGGAGCCTGTTTGTGCACCTGTCACCCGGGAGGCTCCTCTGGGAAACCAAGATGCCTGTCAACAGCACCACCCTGACGTGGGCCAACATATTCTACATCATCATGGAGATTGTCATTGGGCTCTGCGCCATAGTGGGCAACGTGCTGGTCATCTGGGTGGTCAAGCTGAACCGCAGCCTGCATACCACCACCTTCTATTTCATTGTCTCCCTAGCCCTGGCTGACATTGCTGTTGGGGTGCTGGTCATGCCCCTGGCCGTTGTCGTCAGCCTGGGCCTCACGGTCCACTTCTACAGCTGCCTTCTCATGACTTGCTTGCTGCTGGTCTTCACTCACGCCTCCATCATGTTCTTGCTAGCCATTGCTGTGGACCGATACCTGCGGGTCAAGCTCACGGTCAGGTAACCGGCTTGAAGAGGGGTGGGGTGGGGCGGTGATAGAGGTGCCTGGGAAACGGGACTGCAAGGTTCAGGTCCCAGACTTTTTGAACAAAAGCAAATCCAAATTGGCCCCTGAGCCCGAAAGAGGCTCATTTCAGCACTTGGTGTGTGAGGGCTTCGGCAGTGACGAGCTGAGACTCAGGAGTGAGAAAGAGGAATCCCTCTCCAGGGACTCGGGGCATGTGTGCTCGATCAGCCAGGGGAGCCAGCGACGATCAAAGCTTGATGCATTTTTCATTAGTAAAAAACGCTCTTGACTTTTAGAAGCGGTAGAAAGGATCCTGCTAGATAAGATAAGGAACAGACATCTAAGATAAGCGCAGGCTTCTCTTCTTTGCAAATAACTGTAGGTTATTTTAAAGTTGTTTCCACTTTGCTTCCTCCTCCTCCATGTCAAGAAGGGGACCAAAAAAGTTCCCCATTGCACAGAATAGTGACAGTCTCTCATGTGACCAAGTGAATGGAACAGACCACCAAATGGAGGAATCCGGTTCCCCTGACTGCGTGCGTCTCCGGTTCCTCCTCTCCTCTCGGGGAAGGAGCATGGGAGGGAGCTGCAGACAAGCTTTTGACACAAACAAGCCTGGGTTCAAATCCCAGACCTTGAAATCTGATCTTGGGCGTAGGATAGAACTTTCTCTCCTTTGGTTCCACATCTTACCAGATAATGGTTACCATGCTCTGCGCCTTACCTCTTTTCAATGTGAGCTTCTCCACTTCTGACCTGTAGAAGTTACTTGTCAGATTCATTTTTCTCACCTATAAAAAGGGAGACAGCGATTACACCTTCCTCATAAGATTAAGTGGATTGACACACGCAGAGCTCTTAGAACAATGCCTGGCCCACAGTCTAGGCCAGCCGTGGGCAAACTACGGCCCGCGGGCCGGATCCGGCCCGTTTGAAATGAATAAAACTAAAAACAAAAACAAAACCGTACCCTTTTATGTAATGATGTTTACTTTGAATTTATATTAGTTCACACAAACACTCCATCCATGCTTTTGTTCCGGCCTTCGGTCCAGTTTAAGAACTCATTGTGGCCCTCGAGTCAAAAAGTTTGCCCACCCCTGGTCTAGGCTCAATAAATGGTAAGGCGCCTATTTATTTTCACTGTTATTAATGAAATGGAGATTCTCATACAAATTGTGAGATTTCATTAAGAGAAAGTCTACTAAGTGCACAGTACTCAACAACATCAGTATCCTTCTTGCCGTCTGTGCAGAACGTTGTCAGGAAGGACGGGTTAAGGAGAAATGGCGGCTCTCAATGGACGAGCATTTATGGTCCTGGAAGCATTTCAACATGACCTTCCCAACTCCACGGAGTCATTGAATTCAAACACCAAGTGTGGTGTCAGTGTAAGAAGGAAAGCAGGGTATTCAAAGAAAGAGGGGGGTGGGGGAGGCAGAGTATAATTAAAGGACACCAGAACAAAAAAGTAACCCAACAAGCAAACAGTGCAGGCAAACGTGCTTGGAGATCATTTCTCACCAGGAAGGCGATCCCAGGAGACTTAGATGATTGACTCTTACCTCCCAGGAACTGAAGAATTCTTGGGCTGGAAATGGACTTGTGAGTGCAGTGTGTGGGCACCTGAGTCCAGGTAGCATAATCCTGATCCATTACAGGCCATACTTCCTTTAAAGTATGTTGTTATTATTATTTATTTCAGAGAGAGGAAGGGAGAGAGAGAGAAACATCAATAATGAGAAAGAATCACTGATCGGCTGCCTCCTGCATGCCTCCTACGAGGGATGGAGCCCGCAAACCGGGCATGTGCCCTGACCGGGAATCAAACCGGTGACCTCTTGGTTCAGAGATCGGCGCTCAAGCACTGAGCCACACAGAGAGGACCAGATCATGCTTCTTTAGAAAGCTCCCCCAGAGAGGTTTTCGGATTTTTTTCTAATTGTTGTCTGTTCATCTTGTCTTCATATCCAGTAGCATTTAGCCAAAATCATCATAGAATAGCAACACTCTCCATTCCTGTCTCCTTGACCAGCTCCGCCTCCCCCCGCCACCGCCTGCCCACCCCATCCTTTAGCAAATGCTGTGAACTCACCCACTCTCTCCCATCCAAACAGATACAGGAGTGTCACCACTCAGAGGAGAATATGGTGCGCCCTGGGTCTTTGCTGGCTGCTGTCAATCCTGGTGGGGTTGACCCCCATGTTCGGCTGGAACATGAACCTGTCCCCGGGGTCCCCCAGAAATGTGACCTTCCTTCCTTGCCAGTTCCGTTCGGTCATGAGGATGGACTACATGGTGTACTTCAGCTTCTTCACTTGGATTTTCATCCCCCTGGTTGCCATGTGCGCCATCTATATGGACATCTTCTGTATCATCCGGAACAAACTCAGTCTGAACATTTCCAGCTCCAGGGAGACAGGTTCATTTTATGGACGGGAGTTCAAGACGGCCAAGTCCTTGTTCCTGGTTCTCTTTCTGTTTGCCTTGTCCTGGCTGCCTTTATCCATCATCAACTGCATCATCTACTTTAATGGTGAGGTGCCCCAGGTGGTGCTGAACTTGGGCATCCTGCTGTCTCACGCGAACTCTATGATGAACCCTATCGTCTATGCCTTTAAAATAAAAAAGTTCAAGGAGACCTATTTCTTTATCTTCAAAACCTGTATGAACTGCCAGCCCTCTGACTCCTTGGACCCACATATTGAACAGATTTCTTAGTAGTTATCCATGAAAGATGATTGTCTGACCTTCAGATTCAACGTCAACACACAATTCAGGTCCTATCCACCTGGGCCGAGGTCTTTCACATCCGTGATCCCTCCCACTGATGGGGGAAGCATTTGGCCGGCTGTCTCCGATTGTACCTCTTCTACTACCCTTTGCCTCTAATTTGATTTTTTTCCCCTTTGTCATTCCTCCCTAATTCAATTCTCTGGATGCCTGACTTGAGTACAATGTTCTATTGTTAATATTGCCCATGTTCCTCCTTCCCCCCAAAAGAAGTCACAGAATCTGAAGGAAACCTCATTGATTTACTGATAAAAGGTCCCATTCAGGCTGGACATGCATGTGGTGGCGACTCCGTCCCACTCCATGGGCCCTGCTCTCAGCAGATGCCCGGGAGACGGTGGGGACAGAAGTGAGCTGAGTTTAAGGGGATACTTACACTGCCAAATCCATCTGTAAAGGTATCTGAGTCAATAAAAGATGATGACCAACGATTGTGGAGCTCTTTGCTGAGGGCCAGGGTCACTCGGGGCTTGAAGATCCAGCTCTTGGCATTCAGCCTACTTGCTACCTTGAGCCATGTGGCATGCTCACCTGTATGAATTCTGGGCCCCTCACTCCTTACCCCAAGACACTCTGCTCCCTTCTCCTGGGCTGATCAGAGCACTTGTCAACTTTATGACCCATTCTCGGATTGATAAGGAAGGAAGGATTCTCCCTCCAGAGCTGAGTCCTAACATTTCCTCTGGTGTTTCATTGTAATGGGAGTAGTGGGGGCGGGGCAAAAAGAGACAAGGGCATAGATAGTATCTGTTGGGTACTTTCAATGCACCAAGCACTGTGCATGCATTATCTTTTTAGGTCTTGATCATCTTTGAGGTAGATACCACCAGTATTATCATCTCCATTTTGCAGACGAAAGAACTGAGAGGTTAGGCAATCTGTCTACAGTCACGCAATTAACAAGCAGGAGAACCAGGATATAAACTGACTCCTGCCTTATGAGAGGACGCCAGCTTCTCACCACCTATTCTCAGTCATGAAGAGGAACTTGGAACTACTCCAAAGCCCAAACTCTCAAGTTCACCTAATGGACAGTAGCAGATGCATGGACACAAGCTACAATTTGTGTACTCGAGGGCTGCTGGCTTTTGTTTGTTTGTTCCTTAGTTATATCTTTTAAAAAAATATGTATATTTTATTGATTTTTTTTTTACAGAGAGGAAGGGAGAGGGATAGAGAGTTAGAAACATTGACGAGATAAACATCGATCAGCTGCCTCCTACACACCCCCTACTGGGGATGTGCCCGCAACCAAGGTACATCCTCTTGACCAGAATCAAACCTGGGACCCTTCAATCCACAGGCCGACACTCTATCCACTGAGCCAAACCGGTTAGGGCCTTAGTTATCTCTTAAAAATCAGGACGCCATACAGGGACAGAGTTTAAGTCACATCCTTCAAGCACTGAGTGTGGCTTTGGAGAGTCAAGTTGACATCTCTGGTTTGTCCACCCAAATTCGCCTCTGTGGACACTCACTCCCAAGACAGTAAGTATATTGGCTTGATGAGAGCCGCCAGATGGGGATTTCAATGAAACCATGTCCCAGAGGATAAGTGGCTGAAACGGTTTTTATTAATTCTTAGCCAGTCCTGAAAGTTTCTCCAAACCGCCGTCTTAGACTGGAGCCTGATAATCATGTTTATCTGGTTAACGTTTCAGGGAAGGGTTCTTGTTTCTCCTCCAGTCACCCCAGGAAGAATCAACACTGGGAAGCTCAACTTGGTCACCCCACCCGCCCACTTCCTGGCGTCACTCACAATCATATCGTGCAGGCAGAAGACTGGAACATCCCCCGCACTGTTCCTGTTGGTCCCTGGGAGTGGCGTATGGCTTTATTCCTGACAATCTCTCCCTTTCAACGTATGGGGGGATATTTTTCCTTAAGAATTGCACCCACTGCCCAGGCTTTTTTCTTAGTGGTATCCACTTATTCGAGTCAAGGCTTCCCCCGCTGAATTAAATGTCTGTGTGTAGCTAGAATGCCCCTCCGGGGCGAGGCCCTGGGCTTCCTCTGGGGCTGCTGGTGACCCCCGCACACTGTTCTGTCCAGGAACCACCTTTCCCAGTTGGCAACTTGAGGGAGGTACTGGTTCCTTCTCAGTCCCCACAGGTCTTCACACGAGCTTCTTAATTTGCAGTCTCGAACTTCATTGCTGTAGCAACACCCAGCATCAGCCCTTTTCGGAAACTTGATATAAAGTGATCATTTCCCGCCAAACAAAACAGCCGTCTGTCCAGGGTCATCTGATGTCATCCTAGGGGCTGTAGCTCCTGAGAGTCAGGAAAACACTCTTTTCTTTTCTCCTCCTCCTCCTCTCCTCTTTTTTTTTCTTCCCAATGGAGCTGACTTTTTATTTATTTTTTGGTCATGTGGGTGTCTCCTGAGCTAAGGTGTTCCACCAGCCCAGAAGTAGCCCTTAAAGTGATAGTGTCCCTTGGAGTGAATTCAAAAAAGATGAACCGAGAATCACAGGTGAGGAGCTTGGGTAGAAGTGGTGAGTTCCACGCTGGCTTCAGGTTTAGAGGTAGCGTCACAGGGTCTCCCCGGCTCTACCTCCCGGCTAGTTCCCTTCGGGCTGCACAGCAGAGAGGAGCTGTTGAGCTTTTATTCTAAAGGAATAAAGTGGGAAGACCACCCCGACAAAACGAAGTTGCTTCCTCCTCCCCTGTATGATTTCCCTGGAACAAAGACAGATATTGAGTAGCTGGGTCAGTTTGCCCAATGTTTTATCAAGTCAGCTATGGACATAAGCTAAGACCAGATGAGAAAAGCAAAGGCTATTTCTTCTGAGTCTACGGTAACCAGGGAGTCAGCCACCGCCGAGCGTCTTGGCAGAGACTAGAGGGGGCGGAGCAGTGGGGAAGCTCTATTTTGGGAGAAAAGGAGGCTTCGGGGCCTGGCTGGAGGCTGTTGTCCTGGGAGCTGCAGGCAGGCTGACTACAGGGCGCCTCCTGTGCACTTGCTTAGGGGCGCATATTGGCCTTTCTCTGGCTGGCCCCAAGTTGGAAGCAGGAGAAAAATGTAGGGGAGCTGTCAGTTATTATCAAGTCCTGGCCCCTTGGGGCTGATTGTTGATGGGTTATTGTTGGGCGGTCTGGCCTAGTACTAGCTTCCTGCTTGTCTGACTGCTAGCAGGCTGGTCCCTGGGCCTCTTACTGTAGATAAGGGGCTGGTTTCCTGGGCTGGCTGTGGGCCTGCTCACATGTTGCAGATGCCACCGGGCACATCTGCTACTGACAGCTTCATGTTCCACCCCTGACACCACCCCGCAGTGAGGCTTCTGTGTCCACTCAGGAGTCAGGGGAGGTAGGAATCTCCTTGCTAGTCTTCCTCTGCGCTAAAGAGGAATTGAGCCTCCAAGAGTGGTGGATGGACCTGAGGAGTGGCCTCTGGGATACTCAGAGCCTTGCCAGGCGAGGCACAGCTGCACACACGGGCATGTGCCAGCGACGGTGTGCCCATGTGCTCCTCTGATTGTGTCCGGGTGGGTTTATCCAGGATGGGGATCTCCATTCCTGCTTGGGGCTCTGCCCGGAAGCCCAGGACTTTCTCTGTTGCCCCACTTTATTCTATACATTCACGTCCATGAATGGCATTCTTTTGATGAGGTACCCTCGTGCCATGCACAACCTGGACACCTGAACATGGCAGCAGTGCCTGGATTAGCCAGTCGTTCCTGCTCCCCTGGTTTCTCCAAACAGGATAAAACCACCTTGAACAATAGATACCTGTTTCTCTTAAACAGATCCAGGATTGCTGAGATCTCTCATTTCCGTCCAGCCATGGGGCTCTTCGTCCTGCTCTCCCTGACTGTCCTTTCAGGTAAGACAGGGGAAGAAATGTCACCAGCTTCCCCAACTTCCCAGGGACCTTCCAGTACCATCTTCTCTCCTACTTTCTAGCGCCAACTGCCGAAGGAGTGGGATGGGGAAATAGGAGGTGAAAATAGAGCTTGTCCAAAATAGTTCTTGTTCTTAGCTCTGATTAGAGGGCTGTGGGGGGTTTGAAACCCTCAGCTAAAATGAGGGCCCTGCATTCTCTCTCTCAGTTTAAGTTCCCCTTCCCTTCCCCCGTCTCCCCTTCAGAAATGTTTGTGCAGACAGACGAGGGTAAGACTTTCCCCTTTCTGCCCATTCTTGACGCCAAAGACGAGACTCCGAGGACGGGGCTGGCCCTGGCTCTGTCACTCCAGCCATGTGACCCTGGAGAGTTGCTGGCGTCTCTCTGGGTCAGCGCTCCTGCCTGTAAACTGAGCATCACATGATCCTCCTTGTGAGGTTGATATGAGAACAAAATACCAAATGATACCCATTGGTCCCAAGGACATGAGCCTGCTTTGCAGGGTGGTCCCGCTCACCGTGAGCCACACTGGAGGTGGCATTTGAGGGGAGCCCAGCACATACCTGGAGGCTGACACGGACGGGTTGCTGCCCCCATTTCTTCTCCTTAGTTGGACACTTCCCCAGCCACGGTCAAGCTGGACGTGGTGTGCACGACTTCCTCGTTATGCAATATTGAGGTCTTGTAGGGAGGAAATAAGAAGTTCTTGGTCTCTAAGAACAGCCCCATACAGTCAACAGAAGCCCCCAAACCTTCTCATTTTTTTTGAGGGTCTGAGGTGGCCTGTGGGGGAGCGTGGCTGGGGGCAGAGGATCTATGAACAGTAAGCCTCAGGCTCTTCAAGCCTCCCGTCAAGCAATGTTGAGAGGCCTCCTCAGTTCTTGCAGACGGGGGGTCTGTATTTTACCCGCCCAGAGGCCAGGGAGGAAGGCTTCTCCAGGGCTGCTGTGTTCATTTGCTAGGCATTTGCTAGGCCTGCTGTAATAGGCATCACAGACTGGCGGCTTTGGCAAGAGATTTATTCCCATGTAATCATGGAGGCTAGAAGCGCAAGGTCAAGGTGTTGGCAGGCTTGGCTTCTCCTGAGGCCTCTCTCCTTGCTTTGCAGAGGGCTGCCTTCTCGCTGTGTCCTCACATGGTCATTCCCTCTGCCACCTGTCCTAATCTCCTTTTTTTAAGGACAACAGTCATGTTGGACTAGGGCCCATTCTAACGACCCCATTTCAATGTAATTGCCTACTTAAAGGTCCTATCTCCAAATACAGTCACATTCTGAGGGACGGGGGTAGCACTTCAATGTATGAGTTTTAGGGATCACAACTCAGCCCATAACAGTTGCCAATCCCAATCAGGCAAAAATCAGCCTCCAATGTTTTCATTAATTTTCCTCAAGGAGGGCAGGAGCTGCAACCCGTTAAAAGAACACTGGTATTTTCGTACATGTGTGTGTAGTGTTTTTTATTTTTTATTGAACTTACTGCGGCGACATTAGTTAATAAAATTATGTCGGTTTCAGGGGTACAGCTCTATAATACATCATCAATGTAGTGTGTGTCCACCACTCTGAGCCAAGTCTCCCCATCACTGCTGGTCCCCCCTTACCTCTCCTGCCTCCCTGTGTGTGTTTTTTGACAGAAGCCATGGTCATGGACAAAAAGGTCAAGGAGAGCTTTGTGCTGGACACAGTGTCTGCTGTCTGCAGCTACGCCGCCCACTACAAGGACCATCTCAAGTACTGGTGCCGAGGCTACTACCGGGACTACTGCAACATCATCGCCTTCACACCCAACAGCACGGGCCGCGTGGCCCTGAGGGACACGGGGGAACAGCTTATTGTCACTGTGTCCTGCCTGACCAAAGAGGACGCGGGCTGGTACTGGTGCGGCATCCAGCGGGACTTTGCCCGGGATGACATGGACTTCACCGAGCTGGTCGTGACTGACTACAGAGGAGCCCACACCAGTGACTTTTGGTCTGTGAAGGGTAAGGGGCATGCCAGGGGTCCTTGTGGGGGTGCCCTACAGGGGTGGCTCAGCGAGCAGAGTGCAGTGTCTTGTTCCCTCGACCTCACTCTTGCAGGGTACCTTTCATGGCACTGTGCGTGGTGCCTCTGCGTGACCCAGCCATCATTCACGCTGTGGAGACTGAAGGGATGCCAGAGAGAGATGCAGAGGCAAAGGGTGGGCCTGGGAATGGGCCTTGCTTGGCACATACCAAATCCTTTCTGATGCAGATGCGTCAGGGAACATGAACAGAAGCTGCAGAACTTCCAAACTGGTGTACAAGGCAGATCACTACAGGTGAGCAGACATGACCATTGACTCACACCTGCCACTTTCAGCTGCATATTGTTTCTCCACCTCAACGAGGTCTCTCCAAGGGGACCATATGGTTCCTTCCAAAAGGATCTAGTTTAGGGCTCTTGGTCACAGGATGCCCTGTCGCTGTTTTCATTTAAAAGGAGGAGAGAGCGGTGTCTGCTAAATGCAAGGGCAGGATGTGGCCGCCCTCAGTCAGCGGGACTTCATCTCGGTCTCCCATTGGCTGCTCTTGTGTTTGCCTCCCCCGTCCTGCCCTCTAGTCTTCATTTTGCCCTGGGAGAAGACAGATACCCATGTCTAGCTCCTGAGTTCTTGTCTCCCCTTCAGAGGCCTAGCTAGTCTTGGACTGGATTCTTCTTCTCCAAGGTCCCAGGTTAGTTTCTGAGGAAGGGACTCAGCCCAGCGCAGACACCTACCCACCCTGGGTGCAATCAAGTGGGGTCTGGAGGGTGGCGGCCACTCGGAAGGCATACGCTTGGCAGGAGCTGCTGGAACTGGCCGGGGCAGGAACAGGGCCGAGGGGACTGATCTCAGACAAGGGGATCCTGAGCAGAGAGTCGAAAGGTGGTCTCTTCCGAGGGACATAAAACTGTCTGTGGTTCCTTCCAGGATGTCCATCCTCATCACCTGCGTACTGATCACAGGGGTGGGGATCATTTCTCTAATGACTCACTTGTTCAAAAGGAGGAGGAGTCAAAGAAACAGAAGAAGTAAGCAGTGGTTGGTGGGGGGAGGGGGCAGTGCAGGGAAAATAAAAGGGATCAAGAAGCAGCTTTCAAATGGGTAAATGTGACCTCCTCTTATTGCCTGGACCCCTGGAAGCCAATGCAGACAGCCAGGGGCTCAGGGAGGTTCTGCTTCCCAGTGACAAAGGCACCATGAGATGTGACAGAGACAGCACTGTCCCCCTCGTCAGCGGAGGTGTGTGTGGACCAGGGAGGAGGGAGGCCCTGAGACAACCACAGCACAGCTTCCAGGACTGGGGGGCCACCCGCCTGCCCAGCACACAAGCTTTGGGAGGCAGCCTTACTCCTTGATTGAAACGTTTTGTTCCCCCTGGAGGGACTAGAAGCCACGCCTCCTGTCAAAGGGGGCCCCCAGGTGAGGGGGCATAGAAAGGTCACCTTGAGAAGGGTCAGGAGTGGAAGAGGATGGGCCCACCAGCCTCAACCTAGACCGGGTCATGAGAGGCATGGCCTTGAAGCCTTCTGCCTTCGGGCGATTACAGGTAAAGGCCTAACTCGAAGCCAGAAAACCAGGCAAGCTGCTTCTGCGTTCGCCACACCTCTGGTAGGTTCCCTCCTTGGCTCTTCTGCCTGAGCTCTGTGCCCCCCAACTACCCAATCTTTAGGGCTCCCCGTTCCTAACCAGAGAGCAGGAGCTCCATGCAGGGCAGGCTATGTGGACCTGTCCACCGTTCCTTTCCAGGTAATAACCAGCTGATTTCAGCCCTGAAAACAAACTGTGCTGTTCAGTCCCCAGGAAGCCCTCATGAGAGTTGGTAACTTTGGCTGAAGAAACACTCGGCCTGGGTAGGCAGTAGATCTCAACTCCATTTTTCCTTTTGTTTCCAACAAAGTAAACTCTTTGAAGTGCCCCCTCGTGTGTCCAGACTTCAAAGGAACTGGCTCAAACTGGACAGATGTGACTGAAGATTTATTTAGCTCATAAGCAAAGTGATGCTCCAATAGAATCACCATGACAACCAGCCACATCTACAGCTAGGTAAGAACAGTGGCCACGCCTGCGCAAGGCTAGTCAGAGAACACCTCAAGATCTTGGTTCTCATGCATTGAGCCGGCTGGAAGCGAAGAGGAGGGGCAGAACCTCAGTCAGGGGCCCAGGAGATCACTTGTATTTTATCTGTGAGCCAATAAATTTCTAACCAGTGTTGAATGAACTCCAAAGTATGACTTCTCCTGGGGTGTCACGGGAAAAATAATTCTGGACGTTTCTTTTAAAGTATAATATTCCAATTAATTCCTGAATTAATATTACGTGCTGTCCTACCCAAAGAAAGAGAGAGAGATAGGCTAAATCCTTGATTTTCAGATTCTCTTAGTGAAAGACTGTACGGGAAACTGCTCTTTGAAGACTGAATGGATGCTGGTTTTGGTCAATGAGAAACCAAAACGCAAAAGCTTAAATGAGATATTCATTCAAATCAGGAACACAAGTCAAGGCAGAGGCATCAGCCACTGTAGGTGCAAGTGAAGTTATATTGTCATTAACACCCGAGTTACCAAATTAGCTCCCACCAGCATGTCTGCACCCACCTCTCTTAGCTCCCACCTGCATGTCTGCACCCTCTCTCCCCATGTAGTGTCTCTCCTGCTATTTCAGGGAGTTCCCAGGGTCTCCCCATATTGCTTCTGCTGTCCTCATAAAAACCCTGCTCTTCTGGTCTCTTCCAATAGGGTGCGGGCCAGTCTCAGTGCTCAAGATACTCAAGTGGCCCTTTGGCCTGAGCAGGGCTAGGACAGGGAGGTTGGCTCAATTCTGCACACACCCTGCACCTTCAGGTCCAGGCTCTCCAAAGTCCTCCATGAACACAGTTCCTTCATCATCATCCGAAAGAAACCCTCTTTCCATAGGGAGGGAACTCCACGCCAGTCAACAGCCTGAAGAAAAGGGGAGGGCGTGTGGATGTCACCCCATTCCTGCATCTTCCCTGTTTCCATACAGCCAGTCAGTCCCCCTTCCTTCCAGATTCTCAGATCCAACATCAAAGTACTGTCTTATCCCTCAGCCACAAACCAGCCCCGATCCCTCCCCTGTGGCCATGTGCTGAACTCACTAGAGGAGCCACTACAAACAGCAATCCAGTCTGGGCTCAGTGAGGACTGCCTACGACAGCAGGCAAGAGAGCAGACAACCACCTTCCACGAAAGACAAAGCCACTCTAGATGTCTTGGGAGAGTTACACTTACCTGTGTGGAAAACCACCTCCCTGAGGGCCCTACAGGCTTATCTGCTTCCATGATCCAGGGCCTCGTTTCTTCCTTCACCTGCAAAGATTCCCTATCAACAGTCAGTTATTCACTCACTCATCTCACTCTCCAGCAAGGCTAGTTGCACATCACTCTTCATGACAGGGAGACAAAAAACCCCACAAGACTTTGAAAACAGAGCTCTGCTGTTAAAAATGGGAAGCTTCATGAAAACAGAGGGAAAACAATGAATCTGGTATTTCACACACATGTGGCTAAGGAACTGGCTCTGAACTGAGAAGCTGTGGCTTCTAGCTTTGGGGCGGGCAGAATTGTTTGATGTCCTCCTAGCATTTGGGAACCTTTGAAAATGAACGAGGCCCAGCCAGCGTGGCTCAGTGGTGGTGCAGCTCAGTGGCTGAGCGTCAACCCATGAACCAGGAGGTCACGGTTCGATCCCGGTCAGGGCACATGCCCCGATTGTGGGCTTGATCCCAGCGTGCAGGAGGAAGCCATTCAATAATTCTCTCTCATTATTGATGCTTCTCTCTCTCCTCTCTCTTCTCTCTCTCTCTCTCCCCCCCTCTCCCTCTCTGAAATTAATAAAAATATTTTTTAAAAAGAGAAGTAAAAAGTTAATCTTAAAAAAAAAATAAAAGTAAAGGAAGTGAATGAGGCCTCCTTGTGGGGGGGAGGAGAACTGGTGGCGCTCTGCTGCCCTCGTGGGGCTGCCTGCTCTGCTGTGCCCAGGCCTCTTCGCAAGCCTGCATCCCTAACGTGTCTTTCTCCTGGACCTGTCAGCTCCCTCGATCAAACCCCAATTCCACTGTCTCCTCAAAAGCCAGGTGTCAGGAGCAGCTCTCTGTCTCAGAAAAATCACGCTCTCCTGCCCATGTGGCCTGCCCCCTTACCTGTCTGGTTTCTCTGCCCCTCTTCATGCTGGGGCAGCAGGCAGTGCAGGCCAGATGCAGGAATCAGAAGTCAGAGCATCTGGTTTCCATTTTACTCTGCCACATGTTGGGTAGATTATGTCAGCTCTATGAACTTTAATTTTCTTACATTGACTTTTAAAAACATTATTTGACATATTTTTAAAAGAAGTTTGTGGAGGAGGCTCCCCACTCCCCACTCCTGCTTCCTTCCCTGTGCACTGAGCCCCATTGGGGTGACACTCCACAGCGACGCCCCTTTGGAGTCACAGTGTGGGAAACTGGAGGCAGAACTGGGCGTACCTACTCTGTGCTTCCTCTTTCTTTTTTAATCTTTGGGTGCAGCTTACAAAGAGCACGTGACCTGTCCTGAAGCGCATGGGGCTAGCCGGCCCCGGTTTGGGTGGGAGGGGACCCGCCTCGGAGCAGCTCTATCCCCACAGGGCTCATTGGTCTGAAGCCCACGGTCTGCAGCTCCAGGACACGCTGTCCTTTCCTGTGTGGGGGGCATGCAGGAGGCAGCCAATCAATGATCTCTCTCTGTAATAAAGATGGTACTTTGTTCTCTGTCTGCCGAGTCCTCTTCTCTCTCAGTTGGTTCAGAGTTCAGGTGGGGAAACGAGCGCTAGGTATCAGGCCCCTGAAGATGCTCAACAGGTAAAGGAAGAATGTTAAAAGTTACAAAAGGCCCTAGCTGGTTTGGCTCAGTGGACAGAGCTTCAGCCTGTGGATGGAAGGGTCCCAGGTTCAATTTCAGTAAGGACACATGCCCAAGTTGTGACTCAATCCCCAGTGGGGGGCATGCAGAAGGCAGTCAATCAATGATCTCTCTCATCATTGATGTTTCTATCTCTCTCCCTTCCTCTCTGAAATCAATACAAATATATTTTTTAAAAGTTACAAAAGGCATTTAAGGGAAAGCCTATGCCCTTCCATGCCACCCCTCAGTCCCTCAGTTATCAGGGGTGATCACTAAGACCAGTTAACAGTGTTTCCTTCTGGGGACAAACTAAATATTGGATAGCCCCAAAACTGTATATACACACTTTGAATAATTATAAAGGCAGTGTTCATTAAAATATTTCATTTTCAAAACTGAGCTATCAGCTATTGAAGTGAGTATACATTTTTTGGGGATACCCTGAATATAGTATACAAACACAGGTGTGCGCACACACACACACACACACACACACACAGGTATTTTCCACATGAATCAAGAATATGCAGAATTGTGTTCAACTGCGTGCCTTTTCCTTTAACATCACTTGGAGATCTTTTGGCCCTGATATCTGGAGGGAACAGGGACACATGACGAAGGAGCCAACATCACAGAGGGTTTGCTTTTATTTGTAATTCTTGTTAGATTGCTAGGTTGGTTGACTCTTCCCAAGTTGATCAGTGACACTGAGTGAAACACTCTCGGTGCACTGAGCTTGTAGCACACACTTTGGAAGAGGACGAAGGGGGGCAGTCGCGGTCCTCGGGGAATTCCATTTTATTAGTCCAAGTGGGAGATACAGGAATAAGACTGACCCTGGTCACAAAACTGATAGCCAAGGTTGCCAGATCACACCCAAACAACTCCATCTGCAGTTTCACCCAGATTGTGGTCCAAATTTTCTACAAAGGAAAAGTGATGTATGAAGATGCAGCTGACGTGAGAGGAACTGGATTCAAGCCTTATTGGAAACTCAGGATGAGTCTGCCAATTTAATCTGAGCATAGATAACGGAGTTCAAGTCTGCAGAATGGTTTGCATTCAAGTCGTCTCTCTTTTCTTTTGAGGTTTTGAGAGCCATGCTGGCAGAGGTAAGTGCCTCCTCCGGGTTGGATGACAACTACAGAGGAAGAAGGAGGAGGAATGAGCGAGTTCAATGTGGAGGAATGTGTCTCTTCAGAAGCAACTTGAAAGCTTCAGTCAGAGAAGACCCAAAAAGACCAGAAGAACCCTTCAAAGAATCACTGCCCAGCATCCAGAAAGCAATACTACTGTTTAGTGAATAAGCCATAGAGCATAGAGGGAAATTCCAATGGCGTCAGGTCTCCAGTGTCATGGAAACAGTGTGGTCATCTTACCTTGGCAAGAGAATCTGAGTGAGGATCCAGAGCGTGGGGACTTGAGTGATCTGCCATAAGTGCCAGGAAAAAAAGGGGACAAATCTCACCAATGGGGTCTGGAGGAATTAGAAGCCTCTCCCTTTGGTCTTGGGTGAAGGGGTGGGCTGGGAGGGAGGCGGTGCAGGTGGGAAAGGTGGAGGGTCTGGAGGGCAGCTGAGAAGTGGAGGAATTCAAATCTGTGGTCTGCAGAGAAGGCGGGCTGAGCAGGTTTTATCCCCTTCTTCCCATTAGCCATTCAAGGCTAACTCCATTCTCAACAGCAGAGAAAGAACTGCTGCCCCATCTCTCGGGGCCACTCACATTTCCGGTAGCTCTTTATGATGAAGAAGACAAGGGCCATCAGCAGCAATGTCAGTAGACTCCCAGCAAGAAAGGCCAAGGCCAAGTGAAGTTCTTTGCTGTTGTGGCAAAAAGAGGGAGCAGATGACCTTGTGGGCTTTTTGAAGGCCCTTCCTAAAGATCAGAGTGTATGTAACCTTTTCCTTCTATGGTAAGCCTCTAAAATAGCTTTCACGCTTCCTACTGCTTTCCAACTTTTTGGTTTCGGGTTTCAGATCCATTTGAAAGCCTCAATGAAAGCTGTGAACTCTCTTTCCCTCAAAAAATATTCATAGTTCTAAAATTATTCCAAAAAATTGAAGAGGAGAAAAAGCTCCCAAACTCATTTTATAAGGTCACCATTACCCTGGTACCAAAACCAGACACTACCCCCCCGCCCCCCAAAAAAAGAAAAGAAAACTATACTATAGGCCATGAACACAGATGTAAAAATCCTCAACAAAATATTAGTAAACCGAATTCAGCAATACATTAAAAAGATCATATATTATGGTCAAGTGGGATTTATTCCTGGGATGCAAGACTGGTTCAATTTACACAAATTAATTAATGTGACACACCACAGAAACAAAATGAAAAAAAAATCATACGATTATATCAGATAGATGCAGAAAAAGCATTGGACAAAATCCAACATCCATTTATGATAAATACTCTTAGCAAAGTGAGGATAGAGGGAACATACTTCAACATCATAAAGGCCATACATGACAAACCCACAACTAACATCATACTCCATGGAGAAAGCTAAAAGCTTTTTCTCTAAGATCAGAAACAAGACAAGAACATCCACTTTCATCAGTTTCATTTAACATAGCATTGGAAGTCATAGCCACAACAATCAGACAAGAAAAAGAAATAAAAGGCATCTGAATTGTAAAGGAAAAAGTAAAAGTGTCTTTATTTGCAGATGACATGATACTATACGTATAGAGAACCCTAAAAAGTCCACCCAAAAGCTATTAGAATAAATGAACTCAGTAAATAGCAGGATACAAAATTAATAACCAGAAATTGGCTGCATTTTTAATATATCAATAACAAACTATCAGAAAGAGAAATTAAGAAAACCCATTTACAATTGCATCAGCAAGAATGAAATACCTAGGAATAACTTCAACCAAGGAGGCAAAAGACCTGTCCCCAAAAACTATAAGACATTGAAGCAAGCAACTGAAGAAGACACAAATAATGAAAGGCTATATATACTGTACTCGTGTACAGGAAGCATTAGCATTGTTAAAATGCCCATGCTACCTAAAGCAATCTATGGATTTTAATGCAATCTCTATAAAACTACCAGCAGCATTTTCACATAACTAGAACACATAATGCTAAAATTTATATGGAACCATAAAAGACCCTGAATAGCCAAAGCCATCTTGAGAAAGAACAACGAAGTTAGAGGTATCACGCTAATATCAAACTATACCACACGGCTATAGTAATTAAAACAGCATGATACTAGCATCAAAAGAGACACACAGATCAATGGAGCAGAATAGAGTACCCAGAAATAAGCCCATGCCTGTTAGGATGAAATACCCCTAATATCTCCTACTTGGAGATGTTTTCTGAAATATGTATTATTATAAGCCTTTCCCCATAGCTTGGGGCAGAGGGCTGGTGCCTGCAGAAGCAAGATAAGAAGTCCTCTCCCTCCTCCTGACCTGTGCACTCTCCTCCCTTGACCAACTCCTGCCCTCCCCACTGCTTGACCAACTTGTGCACCCACATCCTGACCCTATTTTTGCATACTTCTACCATATATAAGAGAGCATAACCACCCCCTCGGGCCTGACTCTTTCACTGGTCTCAGCCAGCTGTGAGAGAATGTAATAAAATTTCTTAAACCCTCACATCTTTGGCCCGCCTCCTTTCGGTGCGGACCAAACAATGCCTATGTGGTCAATTAATCTCTGACAAAGGAGGAAAGAATATACGGTTGGGTAAAGACAATCTCTTCAATAAACAGTGTTAGAAAAACTGGACAGACACATGCAAAAGAATGAAACTGGACCACCATATACAATAATAAACAAAAAATGGATTAAATACTTAAAAGTAAGACCTGAAATCATAAAACTCCTAAAAGAAAACATAGGCAATAAACTCTCTGACATTGCTCTTGGTAATAATACCTTTTTGGATGTCTCTTCTTGGGCAAGGGAAATAGCAACAACAGCCAAACCAGACTACATCAAACTAAAAAGTCTTTGCACAGTGAAGGAAACCATCAAAAATAAAAGCAAAAGGACAACCTTCTGAATGGAAAAAGATATTTGCCAAAGATATATTCAATAATATCCAAAATATGTAAGCAACTCATATAACAATACCAAGAAAATAAACCGATAAAAAATGGGCAGAGGACCTGAGTAGACATTTCTCCAAAGAGGACATACAGATGGCCAATAGACATGAAAGTATACTCAATACCAGGGAAATACAAATTAAAACCACACTGAGATATCACCTCACACCTGTCAGAATGGCTATCATCAATAAATCAACAAATAAGTGTTGGCGAGGATGTGGAGAAAAGGGAACTCTCATGTGCTGTTGGTGGGGTTGTAAACTGGTGCAGCCATATGTAAAACAGTATGGAGGTTCCTCAAGAAATAAAAAATGGAATTGCCTTATGACCCAGTGATTCTACTTGTAGGTAGAATTTGAAGGAATCCAAAACAATAATTATAAAGACATATGTACCCCTATGTTCACTGCAGCATTATTTACAATAGCCAAGATATGGAAACAACCTAAGTGTCCACCAACAGACAAATGAATAAAGAAGATGTGATATATATCTTGGAATATTAGCCATAAAAAAGAGTGAAATCTTGCCATTTGTGACAACATGGATGAATCTAGAAGGTATTATGCTAAGTGAAATAAATCAGAGAGGAAAAAAATAGCATATGATTTCACTTATATGTGGAATCTAAAAAGCAAAATGAAACAAAACAAAAACAAACTCATAGATACAGAGAAAAAATCGACAATTACCAGACAGGAGGGGGGATTGACAGGATATATTGTAAGTTATACACATGTTGAATCATTATGTTGTCCACCTAAAACTAACAGAATATGCTATGTCAACTGTAATTTTAAAAAATGTTCATAGGTGGCCCCACATAACAAATTTTATTTATAAACTTAAAGGATTCACGGATCTCTTGAGGCTTGGGGAGGTCCTTAGGTAAGAGGATAAAAAATGGGTTTAGTTTTTCTATTGTCTCTGGCCCCTTCTCCTCAGATGTCCCGTCCCAAGCCCATAATGCAAAGCTGTCAACACAAAATCAAGCGCCCTGTAGTATAAGAGGAAGTGGGTGGGAGAATGCTCACTTACTCGGAAGGGCAGGGTGCAGGGGTAATTCTTGGAGCTGTTGTGGTGTGGACTCCTTTGTCTATGAGAGAACATGAAGGGGGTTAATGTTTTTGCCACTGATCCTCACCTAGGCTTACATGCCCCCAGGTGCCCCGCCCTACCCAAGTAACCCGTGGAGATTAATGACAGGGGCTACAACCCCGCAAATGGAGAGAACATCCTGCCTTAGGTCCTGAGTACTTTAACATGGAAATTAGAACTGGAACTTAAAAAACCATCAGCTACACAAATGAAAGAAAAGCCCAGCGTATGTCCCTTAGATAAACCCAGAGTTCCCTTTGATAAACAAAACACCGCCTGTGTTTCCCAGATTTAAGCAGAGAATCCTAGAACTAGTGTTTCCCAAGGTCCTTGGAAATCTGACCTTGGCACCCACTGCCTTTTGTTTTTTTTTGTTTTTTCATTTGTTTGCAGTGAAGCCAAAGGCAGCCACGGTGAGTTTTCCCAATCCCTACACCACAAATGGGGTGGGTAGTGAGGGAAGTCAACTAGATTCCCACAAACTACCCAGCTGGTCTAATCCCAAGCAGAGAGACACCCTGTGCTCAAATCTAGAGGATCAGACAGTTCTCCCCGGTTCCCCGTCTCACTCTCCCCGGTATGACTGCATCATGGTGAATTCTGATCCTTCCAACCTCAGAAACGTTGTCCCATTACAGTCCTCCAAGCGCACCTTTCAATTATTCCAGTTCACTTAACCAGGCAGTGAGGCAGGTAACGGTTTCTGTCCTGAACTTACCAGTGTTGGGATCGTTTTTGGATTGACTTCCTCCCATTCTGTCTTCCCCCGAAATAAAGAAGGAACCTCTGAGAGAGCCTGGAAAGGAGAGGCAGTGGACGGGTCAACCGGGACCTCGACATAGGAGCAGTATCAAGGAGAGGCAGGTCGTGACGAGTGTTCTAGTGAGGTCAGTGGTCACAGACTTTATGTGGTGTGGTTGCCACAGCTCCGCAGTCCGTCCTCAGCTTTGCAGGTCCAGGAATTTGATCTAATCAGGGCACCTAGAATTGACTGGTTACACAAGAACTTCCACCAACCAACTCAGAGGAGACTGATGTATAAACTGAAATAAGGAGCATGTTGGTATAACGATCAGCACTGTATCAGAACATGTAAGAAAGCCAATAAAAACCATAATTTTGCTTGGTAAGCATTGAATTGAAGTAGGATGGGAGATGAAAGGATATTTTGAACTGAGTATCATCTAGGTCTGATGCATCTGCCTCCCTCTCCCATGGCAGTATTGAGTGAACTTTTACAAATTTTTGTTGCTGGAGGTCCTTCCTCTAGGTTCTATCAGACACTTCTGTTCACATATTGTCTTTTCGAGTGAAAACATTCTCACCTAGGCTATGGTTCTATTTGTTATATATCAAGCTTTATTTTCCCTCTATTTTTTATGTATTTGTACCAAAAAGTATAAAGCACCAAAAAGCAGAAGTCATCTAAACTCTTACTACCCATAGTTTAATATTTTAGGGTATTTCCTTTGTTTTGTATTTCCATAAATTCTAAATATAGTTTTTCACTTTTTTCCAGTTTTATTGAGATATAATTGAAATATCATTGTATTAGTTTAAGGTATACCAATTAATGATTTGATATACATATATATTACAAAATGATTACAATGAGTTTAGTTAACATCCATCATCTCACAGTTA